GGGAGACCCCTGTCCCTCTGGCCCCTCCTGACCCCCCCAAAACCCTGCCTGCCCAGAATCTCCACCTCATGTTGGACTCACTCAATAAGGAGGTGCAGGGCAGGAGAGGTAGGTGGGCATGGGGGGTGATGGTGCTGCTAAGGGGGCAGGCTGTGGGGGACATGGTGCCCCAGACGTTGGATGTGTGTGTGGGGGGGGAGTCAGGGGAGTGGGTGCAGAGAGGGGAGAAGAGAAAACCTGTCCTGGCTGAGACCTGACAGGGCTTCTCACAGGGATTCCTAGGGCTGGAGAGAGATCCACCCCCCACAAGTCCCCAGGACTCACCCTTCCCAATGCACCCTCCCCTCTCCCAGGTTTGACCCCCAGATCCTGCAACTCCTGCAGTGAACCCTTCCTGCCCTTCTTGTCCCAAACCTCGTCCTGTCCCTCCCATGCCCTCCCGCCATGCCCCAGCACAGGACCCTCTGACCTCATCCCAGCAGGATCCAGAGGGAACAGATGGTGGAGTTACAGGGTGGGGGGCAGTCAATGCAGCTGTCTAGGCTCCCTCCTCTCCCACCTGCTCTGAGCCTGTTGAGCGGAATTGATCCCAGCCCAGCTGGTGACATGACATCACTCCCCTCTCTGGTTCCCTGCAAGGCACTGACAGCCACTGAACAAAACTGGGACTCCTGGTTTTGATGGGGGCCAGGTATTGAGCAGCTGGGATTATATCTAATCTGGGGGTGCTACCGCCCCTAGCACCGCTAATTCCACTGGCCCTGCCTTCTCCCAGAGACCCCCCCCTTCAACCTCCTTCCCTCAAGCCCCTCCCCATGTGTCTCTCTTCCCAGCATCCCCCTTCCCAGTCCCTTCCTCCCAATGTTCACAACCCACCCCAGCTTGGACCCACATAGGGACCCCACCACATTTTATCCTGCTGGGAGGTGCTGGCCTGGGAGGGGAGGGCAGTGAACAGAACAGGAAATGTCAACATTTTTCCTCTCCCCAGCCTTGTGCAGCTCAGAGTTTGGGGTGAAGGGTTGTGGGGAGAAGGTCAGAGACTGGGGGTTAGTCTGGGTGAGGGGAGTTCAGTGCTTGAAAGTCAGCGTTAGGGGTGTTTGGGGTCAAAGGTCAGGGACGGGGTGCCTGTTCAGGGCAAGGAGGGACATAGGCACCAAAAGTCTGGGTGGCAGCAGGTTTGCAACCTGGCTGGGTCGCAGGGTCCAGGGTTGTGAGTTGAGCTGAGGGACAGCTGAGTTATGAGGCAGGGCTGGAGTCTGGAGACTCCCGGAGGCTCTGAGTTTAGGATTCAGAAAACTGGAGGTTGTTAGGTCTGAGCTGGAGGCTCGGGCCAGAGCGGGGGGCGGGGGGAGGCTAAGTTTCAGAGGTTCTAAGGGATGGTTACCCCTGAGGAAGGCAAAGCTAGGGTGCTGTGGCTGGGGAGTCAGGTGGAGTGTCTGGGTTTGGGGCAGCAGAGGGGACAGGCTGGGCTCAGATGGGGGCAGGTCTACATTTGGGCCCAAGTACTTTCTGTGATGCTGAGCCATTGCCTGCAGGGAGTGTGGCCGTGCTGCCCTCAGAGCCGCTGGAGGAAGCTGGGGGAGCCCTGGAGGGGCTGGATGGGGACCCCGGGGGGCCACCCCTCACCCCTGACCTGGAGAGTGCCGAGTTGAGCCCCATCCTGCCCTTCCTGTTCCTGGGCAACGAGCGCGACGCGCAGGACCTGGAGCAGATGCTGAGTCTCAACGTGGGTCACGTGCTGAACGTCACCACCCATCTGCCGCTCTACCATGCCCACAGCGGGCGCCTGCGCTACAAGCGCCTGCCCGCCACCGACAACAGCCGCCAGGACCTGCGCCAGTACTTCGAGGAGGCCTTCGAATTCATCGGTGCGGGAGCCTAGCAGGGGTGCTCTGGGGAGCAGGGCAGTGCCGGGCAGGGTGTTGTCCCCAGAGGTGGAGGGGTTGGGAGGCTGCACCATCCTCCTGAACACTGTGCCCGTCCCCACCATGAGATGGGCCTGCATGGGAGGGGACACAGCAGGGCTGGAGGAATGAAGGGGACTAAGTATCAGGTCTGGGGGTGCAGGGGGTCGAGTGCAGAGGGTAGGGTAGCAGGTTTGGGAGTGCAGGGGGTCAAGTGCAGAGGATAGAGTAGCAGGTCTGGGGGTGGCGGGGTCGGAGTGTAGAGGGTAGGGTAGCAGGTTTGGGAGTGCAGGGGGTCAAGTGCAGAGGATAGAGTAGCAGGTCTGGGGGTGGCGGGGTCGGAGTGTAGAGGGTAGGGTAGCAGGTTTGGGAGTGCAGGGGGTCAAGTGCAGAGGATAGAGTAGCAGGTCTGGGGGTGGCGGGGTCGGAGTGTAGAGGGTAGGGTAGCAGGTTTGGGAGTGCAGGGGGTCAAGTGCAGAGGATAGAGTAGCAGGTCTGGGGGTGGCGGGGTCGGAGTGTAGAGGGTAGGGTAGCAGGTTTGGGAGTGCAGGGGGTCAAGTGCAGAGGATAGAGTAGCAGGTCTGGGGGTGGCGGGGTCGGAGTGTAGAGGGTAGGGTAGCAGGTTTGGGAGTGCAGGGGGTCAAGTGCAGAGGATAGAGTAGCAGGTCTGGGGGTGGCGGGGTCGGAGTGTAGAGGGTAGGGTAGCAGGTTTGGGAGTGCAGGGGGTCAAGTGCAGAGGATAGAGTAGCAGGTCTGGGGGTGGCGGGGTCGGAGTGTAGAGGGTAGGGTAGCAGGTTTGGGAGTGCAGGGGGTCAAGTGCAGAGGATAGAGTAGCAGGTCTGGGGGTGGCGGGGTCGGAGTGTAGAGGGTAGGGTAGCAGGTTTGGGAGTGCAGGGGGTCAAGTGCAGAGGATAGAGTAGCAGGTCTGGGGGTGGCGGGGTCGGAGTGTAGAGGGTAGGGTAGCAGGTTTGGGAGTGCAGGGGGTCAAGTGCAGAGGATAGAGTAGCAGGTCTGGGGGTGGCGGGGTCGGAGTGTAGAGGGTAGGGTAGCAGGGCTGGGGGCGCAGAGGGTTGGAGTGGAGAGGGCAGGGTAGCAGGTTTGCGAGTGCAGGGGGTCGAGTGCAGAAGGTAGGGTAGCAGGTCTGGGGGTGCAGAGGGTTGGAGTGCAGAGGGCAGGGTAGCAGGTTTGGGAGTGCAGGGGGTCAAGTGCAGAGGGTAGGGTAGCAGGTCTGGGGGTGCAGGGGGTCAGAGTGCAGAAGGTAGGGTAGCAGGTCTGGGGGTGCAGGGGGTCAGAGTGCAGAAGGTAGGGTAGCAGGTCTGGGGGTGCAGGGGGTCAGAGTGCAGAAGGTAGGGTAGCAGGTCTGGGGGTGCAGGGGGTCAGAGTGCAGAAGGTAGGGTAGCAGGTCTGGGGGTGCAGGGGGTCAGAGTGCAGAAGGTAGGGTAGCAGGTCTGGGGGTGCAGGGGGTCAGAGTGCAGAAGGTAGGGTAGCAGGTCTGGGGGTGCAGGGGGTCAGAGTGCAGAAGGTAGGGTAGCAGGTCTGGGGGTGCAGGGGGTCAGAGTGCAGAAGGTAGGGTAGCAGGTCTGGGGGTGCAGGGGGTCAGAGTGCAGAAGGTAGGGTAGCAGGTCTGGGGGTGCAGGGGGTCAGAGTGCAGAAGGTAGGGTAGCAGGTCTGGGGGTGCAGGGGGTCAGAGTGCAGAAGGTAGGGTAGCAGGTCTGGGGGTGCAGGGGGTCAGAGTGCAGAAGGTAGGGTAGCAGGTCTGGGGGTGCAGGGGGTCAGAGTGCAGAAGGTAGGGTAGCAGGTCTGGGGGTGCAGGGGGTCGGAATGCAGAGGGTAGGGTAGCAGGTCTGGGGATGCAGGGGGTCGGAGTGCAGAGGGTAGGGTAGCAGGTCTGGGGGTGCAGGGGGTCGAGTGCAGAGGGTAGGGTAGCAGGTTTTGGGGTTCAGGGGATAGTGGAAGATGCAGGGGGGTTGTATAGGGCTATGTTTAGGGCTGGATGGCAAAGAGATGGTTCCAACCCATGCTTTGTACTGACCCCCCGTCTCTCTCGCCCCACCAGAGGAGGCACACCAGCGGGGGAAGGGTGTGCTGATTCACTGCCAGGCTGGCGTCTCGCGCTCAGCCACCATCGTCATCGCCTACCTGATGAAGCACACGCTGATGACCATGAGCGATGCCTACAAGTACGTCAAAGGCAAACGCCCCATCATCTCGCCCAACCTCAACTTCATGGGGCAGCTGCTGGAGTTCGAGACAGATCTCAATGCGGGGGTCACGCCCCGCATCCTCACCCCCAAGCTCAAGCTTACAGGGGTGGAGACCGAGGTGTGAGGGGGCCCAGGCTGGGCCAGGCCACCGATCTCAGGGCGGGGCAGGGAGGGAAAGGAGAGTGTGCAATAATTGGTCAGACGGGCTTCCAACAGACCAGGCCTGCGGGCCAGATACCAGGGCACCGATGCCCACCCTGCCCACTCCACGCTCGTTGACAGAAGGCTGAGGAGGGGGCCAGTTTTTACCCCAAGACTGATATGTGTGTGTGCACGCGCGTGTGTGCGTGTGAATGCGCATTGTGTGTGCGCGCGCGTGTGTGCGTGTGAATGCGCACGCGCGCTGGGGAGGGCTGGTGCCTGCTGTTATTTATTGGAGTGTGTGTGTGTGTATTAGGGGGAGGGGTTCCCCATGACCTGTTGTTCCCGTGGCCTCTTGGCTCTGGGTGCTGCTTTGCTGAAGTCCACTGTGGAGAAAGGGGACCCTACAGGAATTGGGGGGACACAGGCCAGTCCCCCCAAACTAGCAAATTATTTGAAAACTCAGGATGATCACAGAATTTCTTCCAGACTGATGCACAGCGCCAACAGTGGATGGAGTTTTGGGGGCCCTATTGCCCCCCCACCCTATTCTTTGGACTCTGCTGCTCCATACCTGACCGTCAACCTGTTATACTGACTGTTGTCTTAAAGTGACAGTAGCACCTTTCCTGTGTGCATGGGGGGCAGGGATTAAATTGGATGGGGGGAGTCTCCTACCCCATCCCAGCCCCCAGTGTAGGAGACACACCCTTCTCCAGGGCAATAGTAAATCAGAATAGTCTTCCATTAGGGGATATTTATTTTTAACGACTTAGGGAGGGGCTCCAAAAGGGGAGATCCTCCTTTGCTTTTGTACCATGGTGGTCTGCTTCTTGAGGCTGCTGGATACTGTCTCTTTAAGAAGCGCTCCTCTGGGGGGAGGGGAAGATTTGTGGAGGCTGGGGCGCATAGGAGGAGGGTTATTTATCTGAAATGCAGTAGGAATTTTTGGCTTTTAACCCTTTATTCTCCCTGCTCCCTCAAATGGGAGGGGGACTCTATAGTTAATGGTCCTGCAAAAGCTGGGGGAAATTTCCCCCCATTTTTAATGTCTTCCATCCCCTCCCCCTTCTGTCCAGTGCGTTTGGCTCCCCCACACAAGAGAAAGTGAAGATGGGGGGGGGGGGGGGGGGGGGGAATAAAAGATGGAGCCAATTTCTGCCTGTGTGTGTGTGACAGCGATTAGAGCCCATCACTTCTGAACAGCAGGAGGCACTGCTGCCCCATATGGAGCCAATTTCTGCCTGTGTGTGTGTGACAGCGATTAGAGCCCATCACTTCTGAACAGCAGGAGGCACTGCTGCCCCATATGCACGCTCATCCACACCCCCGCTCAGGCACCCTGTACAGCCCCTGCTGCCCCATATGCACGCTCATCCACACCCCCGCTCAGGCACCCTGTACACACCATGCCCACAGCCCTGTGCACCGGGTATGGCCCCAGAGCCCCCCACCCCCGAGTCTGGCCGTGTACCCCACTGTGCCCTCACTCAGGAGTTCCCATGTGTCTGGACAGCCCGGCTGGGACTTCCTGCAGGGGTGGACCCCTGGGGTCTGGCTCTTAAAGGTCTTAAGGCCCAACTGGTAGCTAAGGCTGCAGAAGAGGCTTTACAGGGCCTAGCCCCCACCGAGGGAAGGCAGAGCCTCACCTGGGGCAGCAAACCTATGGGCAGCCACGCACGTACACAACACACCAAAGCCCCCCTACACAGCCCCAGCCCCATGCACGTGTTCACAACACCCATGCAGACTCAGCTCTCCCCCTTCACACAATCGCACCCTTCTGCCTACAGTCTTCCCCCTCCTGGTGATCCTGCCAGGGTCAGTGTGTGGGTCTTGCCCACTCTCCTGCTGGGCAAGCAAGGGAGGCAGGCGCGCTGGGTGGGCAGGGGAAGCCCTAGCACCCCAAGCTTGCTTCTGGGCAGGAGGAGAAAGTTAAGGCCCATTTTTCTTGGGGCCCCAATTAGCCAGGACCCCAGAGCACAGGCCCCATTGGCATAGTGGCCAATGAGCCACTGACCACAATCCTTTGCCCCACAGCCAGTCATGCATCTCCTGCCCTGCTCTGGGAGCTGGCTAGGGGACACTGCACAGCCAGGGGCTAGACCGTGTGCAAGAATCCCTGTCCCCTTGTCCCCAGAGGGGGCTCGTATCGGGCTCCCCCCTTTTCCCCATTGATCTCCGAGCTCTGTATTTAAAGAGGCCCTCCCACCCCTGGGCGGAGGAGCCGAGGTGGGTGGGGGGAGCTCTGCTGTTTCTCTTTGGAAATTGTTGTTATTTATTGAGGCCAGGAATAATTTATTAAACGTGGATTCATTTTTGTAACAAGGCGGTGATGTGCTCTGGGGAGGTAACTGGGGAGGGGACAGGGAGATCTGGGGAGGGAGGGGCCTAAAAGGAAGCCGCTGAGGAGGCCCTCCCAGGGGATCTGCGACTGGCGGGAAGGGAAAGGCACAGGGAGGAGAATCTAGGAGGGAGGCCAGAGGCCCCACACACGGATCAGGGGCACCCGAGGGCTGCCTGAGCCTGACTCACTGGGCATTAGGCTGAGACCCAGCAAAGCTGTTTGGCAGGTGGGGAGGGGGCATCGAGGGGCACTCCGCAGGTGCCAGGCACCCCGGCCACGAATCCTGCAGCACCTCGCCTGGAGGGATGGGAGTCTGTGGGACAAGCCCTGTGTGGGGCTGCGCTGAAACTCAGACAGGGGCAGGTGGGGATGCTGCTAAATGGCTGTTGGCAAGTTAGCCCCTCACTTGGGCAATGAGAGCCCCCAGCTGGGCTCCAGCCTGGAGATGTGGCACAGGCTGAGCAACCCCCAAACAAGGAGAGCACCCAACCTGCCTGATGCCCCAGCCTAGTGCCCCCCTCCCTGAGTCCTGCCTCCTCCTCTGCCCATCCCCTCCTGCTCCAGCCCCTGCCTCTGGGTGGGGACAAGGCTGAAAGGAAGGGGCCTACAATGCATCCAGCTTCCCTAAAGGGCAGCAAACAACCTGCAACACCAGGGCCAGGAGGGCTCCTCTCCAGGACAGGGGCTGGAGACAGCGCAGGGCGCCGGGGTCAAGGCACGCCAAGAATTAAATGCCAATCAACTTCATCAAAAATAATTTATTGCTCCTGGCTCTATTTACATTCTGTGGGGGTGCCCTTGTGTGGCTTCTCTGGGTAAATGCAGGGGTACCCCATTCCTGCCTAGACCTGGTGGGGTGGGAGACGGGGGCTTGTCCCCTGCAGCTAGGGCTAAACTGCAGCCTAGGGAGGGCCCAGCGCTCCCTGCCCCCACTGGCAGCAGGCACCAGGACAGGTATGTGGAGGGGGACAGTGCTGGGGGCAACAAAGCACCACATCCCCCCAGGCAGTGGAAGGGGATGGCTGGACAAAGGAAGCAGAAGTCAAAGGCCATTTCCATAGAGGGTGTTTCTCAGTGTCCCTGTATGGCTGGGTCAAAGGGGAGCGTCCTACTTCACCCCGCAAGATAATCCCGCCCTGCACAGGTCACCCACAGCTGTATGTGGACAGCTTCCCCCTGCAGCGCCCCCTGCTGGAGTAGAGTGGGAATGGGTCCCTATCCATCCCTCAGCCTCGCTCCTTCCCTTGCAGTGCCCTGTGCTGGGGTGGAGCTCAGTGTCCCTGTATGGCTGGGTCAAAGGGGAGCGTCCTACTTCACCCCGCAAGATAATCCCGCCCTGCACAGGTCACCCACAGCTGTATGTGGACAGCTTCCCCCTGCAGCGCCCCCTGCTGGAGTAGAGTGGGAATGGGTCCCTATCCATCCCTCAGCCTCGCTCCTTCCCTTGCAGTGCCCTGTGCTGGGGTGGAGTGAGAGCAGGTCCCAGGCCCCTATTCCCCCTTCAGCCTCACTCTTTCTCCTGCAGCCCCCCATGCTGGGGTGGA